TTTTTTTTTTTTTGTCTTTTTGTACCAGCGATCGAACTTGGGACCTTGTGCTTTCAAGGCAGTTGGCAGAACCACTGAGCTAAATCCCCGGCCCCTAAAGTTCGTACTTTTTGTTGTTGTTGTTGTTGTTTTGTTTTGGGTTTTTTGAGACAGGGTCTCACTATGTAGTTGAGACTGACCTGGAATTCACTATGTAGCCCAGGCTGGTCTCAACTCACAGCGATCCTCCTGCCTCAGCCTTCCGAGTGCTGGGATTACAGGCATGCACCGCCATGCCTGGTTTAAAGTTTGTATTTTTAAAGAGTTGTTCTTATGTGTTAATCTCTTTTAATCCAAGATAAAATGGGATCATACATTAGTTCATGGCCACCGTCCTAGGATGTAGACTATGGCATCTCTTTATTTTCCCTTCCAGGAAAAAGGATGCAAAAAGCAGATGGTAATTGAAGGGTTTGCTTTTCTTGTGTAAATAAAGAACATATGAGCACTGTACTTTATGCTGTCAGCCTCTGAAAAGCAGTGCATGTATCATAGTTTGACTAAATCTGAGAAGATTTGAAAAGCTTTTGAATATTTTTATTTTGCTACTAAAATAATTAGCTTTATTCTAACCAGTAAGAACTGGTACATAAGTAGTACAAAAAAGTATTTGCCCTTTATATTTTCTTCCTACACATTTCTTCTATCCTTAATTTTAGCAACATTTAAATTAACATTCTAAAATGTGCAGTGTTTCTCAGTATTCTAAGTGGAAAGTAATTGCTGCTACTTCGTTTTCATTTTCATTCTTGCATTTACTTTGCCTGGTTTCCCCCTGAAGTAATTTTTTGCATGGTTTTGGCTGGAGTTTTGGTTTGCAGGTTGCCGCAGCTTTTGCTTTGCTTCGTTGCCATTTTTTCTGATTGCCTTTTTTTTTCTTTCCGCTTCCTTTTTCTTTCCTCGCATTGCCATCTACAGCCAGGCTATATAAGAGATTTGGTAAGTTCTCCATATTTGCCCGCCCCTAAACAAAGAGAGAGAAAGAAAGTGAAAAGTTAGAAGCCATAGTACCTACAGCCTTCCCCTGGTGAAAGTAGTTTTCCCAAAGTAAATCTAATTAAAATGGCACTTAATTGATTTCAACGTTTCTAAAAATCATCATGGTGATTTCAAGTACTTAAAACTGCTAACAAATATTCCTACTAGAAACTTGTTTACAGACACTCATCCAGCCATATCTTCCTGCTAACTTTAAACAGTGTGTACAGAGATGGGAATACACTGCTTTGTAAGAGAACGGCCTGTCTCAAGTGGCAGCTGCATACTCCTAATAGTATGTTTGTTTCTTAATACATGAAAACTAAAATTAAGAACGTACCATATTTTTGAAAAATAAAATACATATTGATGAAATTCACAAATGTAGCCTGAGATCATTTCTCATTCCAACTGTTGTGATACGTGATTTTTGTAGTGGGGCACAGAATTCGGTCTAAAGTTTCTCTCAATTCTACCACGAGAGAATAATGTCTGGTGGTAACGGTGATGTTTGCTCGTGTTCAGATAACAGCACGGATCCTGGAAGCCCATCAGAATGTGGCTCAGATGAGTCTGATTGAAGCCAAGATGAGATTCATTCAGGCCTGGCAGTCACTGCCTGAATTTGGCATCACGCACTTCATCGCAAGGTCAGTGGCTCTGGAAGGAGTAAACCTGTCAGCCTAGAGCTCTGCTTTCACTTCATCTACTTCATGCAGTGCTAGTTAGGCTCACTGACCCAACAGTAACCTAATTTAAAGAATATTGGAATTTATTTTCTATACTTCTAGTATTTACCTTAAAAACTCAAAATGATTCCTATTTTTACTTAAATAAGAATCGAACTTCTATCAGGGTGTGGTGGCACACACACCTATAATTCCAGCACTGTGGGAGACTGAGGCAGGAGCATCGCAAGTTCAGTTCCACCCTGGGCACCTTAAATTTAACAAGACCTTGTCTCAAAAAATAAAGGGCTGGGCATGTGTAGTTCAGTGCTAAGGTCCTGGGTTCAGTCCCCAATACCACAAAAAAACAAAAAGAGAAGCCAAACATGGTAGTGCAAGCCTATAATCTCAGCAGTTGGGAAGCTGAGACCAGAAGATCACTTGAGTTCGAGGTCAGCCTGAACTACATAGTGAGACCCTGTCTCAAAAAAAAGAACAATGTTTTTCCACACTTTTTCTTTCAAGGTTAGAGAGAACTTAAAAACAGACCGATATGTTTCCCTGAAAGCACGGTTTTCATGGTTTGGTTTTTTCAATATTATAGGTTCCAGGGGGGCAAAAAAGAAGACCTTATTGGAATTGCATATAACAGATTAATTCGGATGGATGCCAGCACAGGAGACGCCATCAAAACATGGAGATTCAGCAACATGAAGCAGTGGAATGTCAACTGGGAGATCAAAATGGTGAGCCAAGGCCAGCATTGTCTGACTTAGTCCTTTCCATAGAACTAAGGCCTTCTAAGTTCTGAAGATTTTCTTTTTTACTGTTACTTCTGCCTGATCTTTTTTAAGGTTGCTCTTCTGTAACGGATAAATCCCCTCTACTCGTAACAGCAGCCACTGTTTATTGAATCTGCTGAGTATACCAGATGTTTTCATTTGTGCCCTCTTTCTCAGCCTCACCACAGCTTTCTGAGGCCCACAGATTAGCTGTACTTTACATCTGTTCATGCCATGCACGTAGTAACTAACAGAATCAGCATTCAAACTGAGGTGATTTGAGGCTTTAAAACCTGCTCAATTAATTAATGCTGCCGCCGCAGCCTGGATATGCCTGAACTTTAAACAATATTTTCCTACTAAGTCATTTGATATAGGATGTAGCTCAGTCGCAGACCATCCCTGAATCTAGTCTCTAATACCAGGGGGAAAACACTTTTTGAAATATTTAAACATGATACCTAAAGGTTACATATTGAAGCAAATATTAAATAAGATACAGGAAGTAGATTTTCTCCCAGGACTTGGAGAGAGACATTCTCATTAATTTAATCACCAGAGACCACTTGGGAACTTAATGACCTAAAACCCTTGCTTTCTGTCTTCCTTTTCAGAACTCAGAAGAGAATGGGGGAAGGGTTAATAAGCTTTCCTATTCTTTCAGACTTAAAATACTCTCACATTTTAAAAGAGTAATTATTTGAGGACTGAGAAGTATTTTATGACAGGGCAGGCTTTAACCAGCGTGCAGCTTTGCTGGGAACCAACCCTCTGGAATTTCGCGGGCCTAATTTTTTGTCTTTGTTCTAGGTCACTGTAGAGTTTGCTGATGAAGTCCGACTGTCCTTCATTTGTACTGAAGTGGACTGCAAAGTGGTTCATGAGTTCATCGGTGGCTACATATTTCTCTCAACGCGTGCAAAAGACCAAAACGAGAGTTTAGATGAAGAGATGTTCTACAAACTTACCAGTGGTTGGGTGTGATTAGAAATACTGTGTAATGAAACTCTGTGGCCGTAACAATATTTAACTTTAAAGCTGTTATATGCTGCTTAATAAAGTAAGCTTGAAATTATCATTTTATCATGAAAAACTTCTTTGCCTTACCAGACTGGTTACTATGTGCACTAACCCGCACCATTCTGAATCTGCTATCGTGATGCGACATGTGGACTCTGGAAGATGGCACACATTCCTTAGGGCCATGAATTGAAAACCGAAACAGTGAGCAAATCAGGAACAGACCATCACTGAGGCACGCTAGTCAAACTAAGAAAAAAGCCATCAACTATAAAGGTAGCCAAGGCTTAACCTATATGAAGTCTATTTATCATGTTTAATGCATGTGTTTCAATGTGTGTTTAATTTGATGTCATGTTTTAAATATCCTATTTCTGGTAGCCTTTTACCCCTCCCCCCCATATAAAACCAGGCCTGCAAAGATGCCTGGTATTTAATAATGTCATTGTTTGAAGGAAGATACTGTTAGTCTGTTATGCGTGGTTTTTGTCCTTGAATAAGCATGTGTGTGTATTGTCTTATTATTTTTACACCATAACGTATTACACTTTTAGTATTCACCAGCATATTCACTGTCTGCCTAAAATATGCAACTTATGCATTACAATATGAAGTAAAGGTCTATGAAGTATGCATTTTGTGTAACTAATGTACAAACACAAATTTTATAAAATTGTACAGTTTTTTTAAACTATTCACAACTAGAAAATGGCTTAAATGTAGCATCCTTGCATTAATTAAATGCTTTTAAGATTATATAATTAATATGCAGTTTTAATATGTGCTAAATTAAGAATTGACTTCATTCTGGTTGTGATTTGCCAGTGTCCTTCACTCTAACCCTGGACTGGCGTGTTCTAGTCTGCCGCGCTGTTACAATCTGCATTGGTGCTAGTGGGAGAGTCCTAGCTCACACCGCCCAAGAGGGGCCAGGGAGGAGTGGATACTGGTGTTGTCCAATAATCCATGGTCTAAAGACTGTATAAATGCATTATATTTTAAATAAAAGCAACACCTTTATTTAATGTTTCTTTTTGTATTTGTCTTTACTCTTTGCATAGCATTAACTTTGCAGAAATGAACTTTCGCCTTTTGGAAAAGCTCTCCTGCCTCTCTATCTTTTGAGCACATCCACCAAGTACTCCAGAGTCACCAGTGGGTACTTTCTGTCTTGGACAGATGGTTTTACTTAGGTTGAGAATGCTTCATTTTCCTGATGCTAAGACACAACTGGGTAGTATCTGTTAGGGATGCTGTTAGAAGCAGAAGTTGATTCAGGCAGATTTGTTTTAAACAGCAAAAAACTCTTGATCCAAAAACTACATCTATTAATTGACTGTGTGGTTCCTCCCGGCATTCAGATCAGATCAGTTCCATCCTGGATTTTCTCCGCATTTACCCTTGCATTAATCAAGCCAGTGCCTGTTCATTTCCCTTAGCAACCTTGCTCTCCCACCCCCCGTTTCTGCCGTCTTCACCTTGTTCACCTCTTTGTGCTGTGCAGCCATGGAAGCCTGTGATCACTTTCCTCGGGCCATACTGCAGCAGGCCACACTCCTTCCCATTTAAAATGTTCCGATGTCAGAGTCCCTGTGCAGTCACTTGCTAAAAGCCCCAAGTGTATTGAGGCCTTGGCTCTGCAAGTCCTTTCTGGCAGCTCCCCAGTCTTCACCCTGGGACCTTCTGTCAGTCTCCACCTATCCCAGTCTCTGTCTGGCATTTTAGAAATCTCAGAGCTCGTGTTCCTCCATAACACATACCCATTTCTCTGTACTGCCAGTCATGATGAAGGCAGAGCAGGAGTGGGGACCTGGATCCCATTTCTCCATCCCGTGGTGGTAAGAGCCTCCCCATCATGACCCTGGGGGAGTCCTATTACCAGTGGTCAACCTAGACTTCCCACTCTGGGATTCAGGTGGACACACAGGCCCCTGGACAGGACACCAACCAAGCTCCCTTCCAGCTGCTTCTGTCAAGTCACCAAGTGCAAGACCTGCTGGAAGCTGTGATGGAGTTAATCAGTAATCTCTACTTGGTACAAGCTATATTCTACGCAGCCTTGAACTTCAAAGGTCAGGGAGCTGGAGACCTGCACTCTATGAAGGAACAACCACTTGTAGGTCTTAACCCTCTATTCTTACACAATCCCCAAAATCAATCTGGAAGGTTGTACTCTTCTCATTCACGTTACTATAGTTTTAGCTCTCTTCTATATTGAAATTCTTATTAAGCTTTTTAATCAGTTGTCAACTGATGATGTAGTGGGATTAGGTCAGCCTGGGTTCTGGACCCTTAATTTATCTGGAAAAGTACACAGATTTAAATGTTGAAAGTCCTCTATACTGTAGCTACATTGAATGTGAAAGTTCCTTCATAAAATGTTAATGTATTTTTAATTGAGTTTTTTCCTTAACCTTTGTAATGCACCTTTGTCCTATGCCTTTCATATTCTTTTACCTCTTTATCATTAAGTCTGACATGTGGTGCTGCTGTTTTTATTTTTTTAATTCATTTTTTGAGACAGGGTCTCATCATGTAGTTGAGACTGACCTGGAGCTCACCATGTAGCCCGGGCTGGCCTTGAACTCACAGCGAGCCTCCTGCCTCAGCCTCCTGAGTACTGGGATTGCAGGCGTGAGCCACCACACCCGACTATGCTGCTGTTATCAGATTAGCTGCCTAAAATATGATAGTATCTTCACCACTTTGATGGATCCAAAGATGTGAGAAAAGTTGGGCATGGCAGTGCATACCTATAACCCCAAGTATTCGGGAGGCTGAGGCACGTTCCGAGGCCAGCCTGTCTTAAAGTAAGGTTTAAAAATAAGTAAGGGCTGGGTTTGTAGCTCAGTGAGAGAGTGCTGGCCTAGTGAGCACAAGGCCAAAGTTGATCCCTGTACCAAAGGGAGAGGTGGGAGCTCTCAGACATCTATCCCTGTGGCAGGCTGTCTCTGACATATTGCAGAATCACACACTGATTCAAAGTCCTGTCACCTCCAAAACACTTTCCAGCTATTGCAGTCAGCCCTTCTTCAGCCACGTGGCTGAGGAAAGGATGAGGTGAGATAAGGTGCAGACCTGGACACACACGGTGCAGTCGTGAATTTAAGGTCCCAGTCATCTAGAGGGACACTCAGGAAGAAGACATTAACTGGAGAGCTTTGTGCTCTTGGACAAGTTCACTGTCTTCATCTGAACTGCTTTGGTTTGGCAGCTCAAGAGTGGGGAGGTAGCAGAGACAAGTGGCAGGAAATGGGAAACTGCAGTCTGGGTGAGGGGAATGCAGTTCTCAGGGTGGATCGCAGAGCTGCCCAGAACAGGAAACAGAGCAGCCAAAAAGCCTTATCTGGTGACCTTATTTCCCACTGCTGATTCCTCTTGTTTTCTCTGCTTATTTAATAAACAACAGAGTTTCCCATGCTGCAATGTATACATTAAAATTCTCTGTTCCCCTAGTAAAGTTTCCAGAATATACACTCCCAGCTGAGTTTCCTTTTGATATTTGGGCATGGCCCTGCACATTACTAAAAATTATGAGCACTTAAAATAATTTGAGACCATCATTTCACAAGATCTGATTATAGTCTCATGTGGCTTCGCTGGCCAGGCATTACTTGTATTACTGCTCAGGGAAGTGGCCCAAGCTCAATGTTAACTAAATTTGTGATTATAAACAGCACAAGCAAACAAACAGGTTTAAAATCATATCTGTATTAATATGATTTATAGATGCTACACAATAAAGAAACATTGTGAGCATAACATTCTCTAAATTTTGTGAACTTTAGGACCAAGTAAAATTCAGAGCACATTAACTCTCAGGTTTGCTAATCAAGATATCTAAACAACCCTGTTTCCGTCCTGCCTAATTATAAATTTGATTAGCTCTTAAAATGTTCAGAAAAACAAGACGGAAGACATTCCTAAAGAATAACGGGTGAAAGGACCCACCTTATCAAATAAATGCAAATTGAATAAAGCACAATGTTGGAACAGAGATAAACAGCCAGAGTCCAAAGAGACACCAGAAACGCAGACACCATCTACACACACTAGTTTCTCTCTGAAACATGAGGATTTCCCAAAGAACAATGCTGCTTATGTCTATGAAACAAGACTCTGGGGCCACTCCCTTGTAACAGTATGTAGGAGTCCAAAGCAATCAAGTGGACTAAAGACTGAAATGTGAACAGCAAAACTAAAACTTAAACATGACTGAGCATTTTTATAGCCACTGGGGAAAGATTTTGTGTGTTAAGACAAACGTAATCAATTATGTTAAAATGAGTATAAAAATACTAAAGTGTGAAAAGCTAATCAAAATTGAGAGAAGGTATTTGCAACACAGAACTGATGGAGGATTAGTATCCAAAGCATAAACACATGCACACACAGATCAAAAGAAAAATGGACAAGACCCTAAGTTGGCAGTTCACAAAAGAAGCTCAAAATGTAACCCTATAAACATCTGTTCAACTTTACTATTATAGAAAATGGGAAATTTTTAAGTTTGCTGGTGGGAGTTTAAATTGGACCAGAACACTTCAGGAAACATTTTGGCGTCATCTGGTAAACTACCCTGTGGTCCCACAATCCCACCACTGGGGCGGATCCCTAGCCCTGGAGAAACCCCCATGCTCACCAGGAAGGAGCCAAGGGTAAGAATGGGAAGAGCCCAAGTCAAAGCACAGCAAGAATTGCGGTGTATTAGCGCTCACAAGAGCTTTCAGGACTCCTCAAAATACTGCACGTGCGGAGTCCCATTCTAATGCAGGACACAGCTACAAGATTGGCCTCCAGTAGCCTCCCCCAGAGTCAGATGTAGAAGAGTGCAAAAGATCTGTGTGCGTGCTAGAGATCCAAAGCATCCAGCCAAAGGCTTGGAGCCCACAGCAGGACGCAGGAGTCCAAATCAGAGGCCCAAAAATCTGCAACAAAGACTGGGCTCTGCACAGCTAAGTTGAAGGGTAGGCACTACAAACTGGAGTCTGTGCGGGCAGGCGGAAGAACCTGCCCCGGAAGCCAGGAGAGGATGCCCAAGGCAAAGGCAAAGACCTGAGCTCCTCTGTGGGAAATCAGTCACAGAAAAGCTCTTTCAAGGAAAATTAGACGAAAATTTTCCCTCTCACTCTCTTTTTTTACCATTCTGACAACAATCCTCCTTAAAAGCAGGTGTTCCACACCCAGAACCATACTGACTCAATTCAGTGTCCCCACTCAAGCTAACAATCAATCAACCACCACACCTGGAAATGCGTATCTGAGACAGGAGATC